TTTTTTTTGTTTTTGTTTATTATTCTAGTAAAATTCCGATATTTTTTTTTTTTGTTTTGTTTTTGTTTTACAAGAATCGAATAACAACAAACAAACAACCACATTAATGATGATTTCGATCGATCTGATGATCTTTGATAGTTGTATGTTTCTGGTGTGACAATAATCATTATCATCGAGGGAGAAGAAAAAAAAACTTGTTTCGAAAACAAGGATCAAAAAAAAAGGAAAAAATCAATGGTCATTGAATCTCTCTCTGTCCGGAAAGTTTCTCTGGAAAATTTCCAAATTTCTCTCTCTCTCTCTCCCTCTTTCTAGCTGATAGTATTTTCATAAATTTTGATCGATGAGTTTTTTTTTGTCAATGGTAATCCATTCCGGAGATAGAGAAAACCAAAACCCAAGATTCAAACAAAAATCAATAGAGACAATTACAGAGAAGAGGAAACAAAAAGTGTCAAATTGACAATGTTGATTACACAAACAAACGAACGAACGAAAAAAAAAGTTTAGTTTATTGATGAGAAAAACAAGACAGAGAAAAAAAATTCAATCATCAAATGTTTTAATCGATGATGATGACCCTCAGATCATAGACAAGCCACAGATCCAAAACATCATCGACAACAACAATGGTGACAAGACAAATCGGTTCCAAAAAAAAAAATGTATCTGGTTATTGTAATCAACAACAACGAAACTTTGTATCTTTTCATGTCACCATCGTGAAATCAAAGTTTTTCGTTCGTTGGTTGGTTGTTGTCTTTTTTGGATTGATAGATGGGCTAATAAACCATAACAACAACAACAACAACAACAAAACTACCGAATAACAAATGTACTTTATCATTGTTTATCATCATCATAATAATCATCATTTATTTCATTTTTATGGTCCTGGTTTGTTTTGCCTGTCTTGTTTTTCGTTTTTCGCGAGTTTCACGCGCTCGCGTTACAATGTTACGAAAACGATGTAGACGGTCACAAAGTGATTTATGTCCTTTGGTTTGGAGATTTTTTTTCTCTTGAATGAAAATGGTAGAAAACTATACGAAGAGAATGAATGGGGCAAATCAGAAACAGAAAAACTATGTACAAACTAAATGATGACAATGGATCATCTATACCGGCAAAATAGAGGTGTTTGTCATCATCATCATCATCATTGTTATTCAGTTAAAATTACCACCATTAGTAGAAAATCTCTTTAATCATTTTCCAAGCTAATCATCATCATCATCATCATAATCACTGTTGTAAATTCGATTAGTTCATTTACATAACAATTCCTATCTCTAATTGATTTCATTTTTGCTGTTGTTGATTTTTAATTTTTGATTTCATTGTCAATGATGAAAAAAGAAAATGAAACCACAAGATAGATAAGATGGATTAGTTTCTTTCTGTTTTTCCTGATGTTTTTCCCGATGACAAATTGAATTTGTATCTTTTTTTTTCAGCAATGAAAAGATTGAATTTTGAATTTTTTGTTTTTTTCAATTCACTTTTCAAATCAAAAGTCAATATTTTTTTATCCCTCGTTTTTTTTCCATTTTTAAAATTCTGATTGAAAACATTACTATTGAGTGATGATGCTATAGATTCAAAATCCACTATAAAGATAGGTTCAGATAATAATAATAAACTACAGTACAACAACGATAACGAAGGAAATAAATTTTTTGATTGACAGGTCACCAAGTACGATATACACACGTTATATTGGCATTGTATGTTCATATTTTCCAATCTCTCTCACTCTCACTCTCTCACTCACTATATATTCAGAATTATTATTATTTCTCTTCTAAAATCCAATTCAATCGATCATGTTGTTGTTGTTGTTTTTGTTTTTTATAGTGTCAAAGTTTGTTATGAATCGATCAATTCAAGGTTTCATTGGAGAGAGACTTTATTATGATATTCTTTTTTTTTCAATTGTTTTTTTTCCATTGAAAACAAGCAAACGAAAAATTTTCTTTGAATTTTTGTTATGGTTACCACAATCCTTTTAATGATGATGATGCTTAATCCTGAACAAAAGTTTGTGTAGGATATATCAATGATGATGATTTTTGGTTTGTGAAGATTCGTGAATCCATGATTTTTTTTTCACAATTGTTGTTGTTGTTGGTTGTTGTTGTTGTTAAAAAAAACTTCAAAAAATCAAAAATGACAAATCCGCCCTGTTCAATATGAGTGTTTTGTGTGTTTGATTGAAAGAAATCAACAATTGTTGTTGTTCGATGTTTGATGATGTTTATGAAATGTCAATGCAAACAAACAAACTTTTGAATGGAAAATGTTATTTTTTTTTTCGGGGGAGGAAAGAAAGAAAAGATGCTAAAAGGATTTGAAAATTCAAATTATTAACACTTTGGCTTGTCAAGAAAATGAAAATGTCAATGTTGAAAGCAGAAAGAATGAAAAAAAGGCGAGAAAAAATGAACAAGTATTTCTGTCGGATTCGTTTGAAATTTTGTGATTTTTTTTTCTGCTGTTTCAAGAAAGAAAATCCATTGAAAATCCATTGTTTGAAACAAACAAACAAATACACATTACGGGTATTAAGGGCGAGAAAAACAAAAAAAAAAAAAAAAAAAATATCAAAGTCATCATCAGGGAGAAATAAAAGGTAAAATATATCAAACGAAATCCGAAATCAAATCAACATTGTTTCAGTAAAACGAAAACAAAAACAAAAAAATTTGACAATCATAATGATCCATAGGAAAGGGATGCGTTAATGATACGATTTTCAAGCAAAATTTTTTATAAATTTTTTTTTCATTTCCAATTCGGTGCAGGTTTTTTGTTTTTGTCGTTTTTCTGGATGGCAGTGAGAAGAAGAAGAGGATAAAAAACGTAATCCGATTTTTGAAAACATTTTTTTGAGTTTTGCGTTTTGAGTTTTCTGTTTCTTTTCTTCACCAAAAAAAAACGCCAATATGTATCATCGATCAATTGACACCCGGAAATTTTTTCGGGATATTTTTTTTGAAGCCGGTAATTGAACAACAACAACAACAACAACAACAAATCGGTTTTCAAATTGAATAAAAAAAATTTTGAATCATAAATCAAATGATGATGATGATGATACAATTGAATCCGAAAATGATGGTGGCCATTTATCAATTTTATTGATAAAATATGAATTTCAATAATGATCCAGATTTTGTTTTCTGGTCATTTTGAATTCAAATTAACCCAGTGTTGTTGTTGTTGTTGTTGTTGCTTTTTTGGTTCAAATTGAAACAGTGAATGTCTCAATTTGTTTTTTTTAACACTGTCCGATTGTGTATGGTTTAATGGTTTTATCATCATCATTATCATCATGGTGAAAAAACAAGAAAAATTAGTTGTTATTCATTCATGCTGTGTGTGTGTGTGTTTGTTTTTCTGATTTCAAGGATTTCCTCTTTTTTTTTGGCTGGCCAACTATGATTGAATTTCCCATTGAAATCCAAATCAGTCAAGTTGATTCCAAAATGGTAAATAACAAATATACACACTGTTAATGGCAATTTCTTTGGAATTTTTTTTCCCCGGAAACAAAAAACATTGTTAAAAAAGATTAATTCATGCAAATCTTTTGTGTGTGTTTCGATAGGGTTATGGTGGTGATTGAACAAGCAAAAACAACAACAACAACCATTTTGTAATCAAAAAATATAATTCATCTTTTGACGAATTTACTAATAGTCCAAAAACATCTCAAAAATTTTCATTAATGAAACATTAGTAAAAACATAATGATCATTTTCGTTTTGAATCCGAAACAAAGCAAAAAACAAAAAACCACATAATAAGAATCAAGATCAAGATTCATATCTAATAAGATTATTTTTTGTTTTGTTTTGTTTTGGAATTCATTCGATCGAAAATAAAATGATTGCTTCGATTCTGTTGTATTGTGATTACTTCTACGACGATGATGATGATAATGAAAATTATTTGTCACGTTTCAAAAGTCTTATTTCTTCTTCAGTTGAAAATGATCCAGGAAGACAAATGAATGAATGAATGAATAAAGAAACCAGAAAAAACTTTCTCATCATTTGAAGTTCTGGTTGAATGCTAATTGTATTTCGATAATAATCGTAATAATAATAATAATTTGAAACAAACACAAACATTTGGAATCGCAAAATGATTTCCAATTTTTTTTCCCGCTCAAAAATTTTCAAATTCTGTACAAATGATGAATATCAAAACGAAGAAAAAAAAAATAAAAAAAATAATTCAATCGATCGATCGATAATTTGTAACCAACAACCAACCAGTGTCATCGAATAATAAATTAATATTTCAATTTATCATTAGCAAATTTTTTCCCGTTGTTGTCTTCATAATGATAATAAAAAAATAAAAAATCTCTTTTCTCCATTCACTTTTTGTTTTTCAATGATCAATTTGCAAACAAAACAAACACAGAGATAGAAAAAAAAACTAAAAGTAAAAAAAAAAGACAAATTGATCATCATCATCATTGAAAATATATTAACAAAATATCGATCGATCCAAAAATAATAATAATTATTAGTTTGAAAGTTTGGAATTCATAAGTTTTCTTTTTTTTGTTTGTTGATAATGATGATGATGATAATAATGATACTAATCATATAATGATCATTATCAAATAAATAATGATTGATTATTTTTCAATCGTTTTCTTCAAT